ACATTTGGAAAAAAATGAGTAAAATAGTTTGAGTCGTCTTTTGGGGGTCTTCCGTTTCATTTCACACATGGGCCCCATGTCATCCTTTTGTCAAAGGTAAATAAATAAATAAAGCATTAATTTTCGCAAAAATAACAGCGAGAACGTATTCAAGGTCCTAATTTATAACGTTTAACCAACAGATTTTCAGGAAACACAGAATTCATTAACTAAATTTCTGTTAAATTATTCCATTGGAGAATTGGATATGTATACTACCTCATGGAATGATCATGTAATCATTATGGCGCTTTTTAATTCTACTTCTTGATTAGTTAAGAATTTATCTTGATATATGAGTTTTATTTAGTTTGTTTGACTTGGTGACATGAATGGTAAGACATTAATGTTGGATAAGTTTTTCGAATCAATGATACATTAATTACAACCCAAAAGTAAACGCTTATAGAAGTTAACTAAAAATACAGTAGAATAGAGACTGAAAAGGAAATACTAACTTCATTTTATGGTTCAACATGAGCACTTCAAAAATGACAAGTATTATTTTTTTCCTTTCTATAATAATGACGGCTATAATTATTGAGATTAACTTTTTTTTTAAATCCCATCATCGCCAGCGAACGGATTCTAGTTACTGAATTGCTTTGAAGAAGGGGAGCTGCTGGAGAAAAAGACACTGGTATCAGAAAAAAAAAGGATATAAAGAACTTTATCCTTTAGCTTTATCGGATTGCAGATTACTTTTCCTGGAACCGCGCTCTCTGGAGACGTCATTGAAAGTTTCACAGAGAAATGGCAGGTGTTTCTTCAACGTTGAATACTAAATATGATTAAGTATAACTTTTTTTTTATTACATGTTATTAATCTGTATAATAAGAAATATTATTAATTACTTATTAAAAATAAAAATATTAAAACTTCCACTTACAATGCTTCTATTTTTTTTTTCCTCTTAGTTATAGTTACTCTTTAGTTACTACTTATTATTCATCAATTAAGGAAAAAAAAACTTCCTTGGTGATTTATGATCAGTATATTTGTCACACATCCTTACGATTATCAGATATCAGATATCAGATACGATTATTACACATCCATTTTTTGAACTTAACATTATCAGGGGTTAAAAATAATAAATATATGTTATTAAAAACAGGTAAATGTAATTGGTTAGACCAACTGACATCAGTACCAGATTCTATGCAGAGATAAATATTACTAAAAATGTCTCAAATATACTAACAATTTTTCATTCGAAAATAATTTTAACAATGGCGCAGACAATACAATTCTGTATTTTAACACTAAACATACCATAACGGGTCAAATGACCCATTTTGAACTTTTCCATTGAAAATACACGTATAATTTTATTGCGTTTGCACATTTGACTTCATGACTTTTTCTAAGTAATTAATGTACAGTTATAAAAATATTTTTGTTTTGTTTTGTTTATTCTGAGTAATCCTTGCTGTATACTGATATCTGCCACAACAGGTCATTTGACCCGGAGAGAATTTTTTAGTTTTATGAGATTATCTAGTCATATTTGTAGTCAGTAAGTTGCATATTCTTCCAAAGACTGTTGCGTAAAGTAGTTCAACGAAAATAACTCAGAATAATTTCAAGAAAATATCAAATTTTAGGTTGAAAATAGCTTTTTAGTGTAAGAAAAAGTGGCAAAAATTGAATGTCTTGGTAAGTAGCTAGCTTATATTTTATTTTGATAGCAATAGTAATACAGATCATTTTTTACCTAGAAAAATGTCGAAGCAAACAAGACAGTAAAAGTTCTTAGAAGATATAAATAATATTGGCGAAGAGTTGTCAGAAATTAGTGAAGATGAATTTTCTGAAAATGAAGATATATCGGTTGCAAATAAAAATGAGTTTGATTCTACAGATACTGACGATGAAGAGGAAAATATTGTGAATGTATGTAGTGGCCAAAAAAGAATAAGATTACTCACAAGTTCGGAAGAAAGTGAAGTAGAAATAAATGAAGAAAATGTTGCGAATGATGGATCTGTTTGGCAACAAATGGAAGTAGGTGGCACACCTGGAAGAGCACCACTGCGATGAAGTATGAATTAAAAGTTTTTATTTTTTGCTTTTGTAATAGAAATGCTCAACATACTATTTTGTTTAATCATAATAAATTTAATTTATATTTTTATTTCCTTCCTAACATCCATATTTCATATATGCAAGCATGAAACATAAAGTCGGGTCATTTGACCCGCTATGGTAGAAATAGGTATATATTAAGTCTTGGTATGATTAGTGTTAAGTACCAAATGCTATCCTTAACCAAAAATACTAATAAACGACAAACGATTTAAAAGCAAGTAAAAAGAACAGATGATATGAGGCCAGAGGATTACAGTATATTGAAAAAGAGTTGGATGAATGACCTTATCTGATAATCGACTTTTGATTATATGCAAAAAGAACTCGCTCACGATCTAAAATATGTCGAGCCAGTGGTTTAATTTATGTAAGTGATGTTAAGATAGAAAGACTTGTGTGTGATCTTGATATTTTTCAAAACTTGTAACGTAACACGTAAGTAGAGATCAATATCGCACTGGTATGGCGCTGTTAATATAATTATAGTACTTAACCATGGGTTGATTCCGGAGTAATTTAGGAAATTCCCATGTCCTATCAGACTGGGAATTATCAAAATCTGTTTAAGAGGAAAGATTGAAGATTGGCATATTATCTGATAACCATAATAATCGAAATAATTAAAAAATTAATAAATAAATAAAGGAAAGTGAAAAGTGGAACAAAATCCGCTCCATCTCCACCACAAGGGCTGCTCACAAGGGATGGGAGAAGTAGCACCTGTGTTCGACTACTAAGCAATCCTCACCCCCTTCTGCCTCAACCCAGCAGAACAAACATGGCCGGAACTAAAGAGGAGTACAGAGGGAACTTGTCCCAGGCGGAAGAATTTACCGAGGGGTAAATTTCGAAGGAAGTCAAATTAAAATGCAAAATGTTCGAAAACCAAATTAGTCGGGGGGCGGGGTGGACGAGCAAGCAGACGCGTGTGCACAGCACCGCGTTGCCTACCAACACGATGGAGTATAATATGACAAAATGGGTAAGAATTCGCGTCCCGGTGTCAGGGGAGGCACCTTTTAACTCTGGCGTTAATCTCCTGCCTCAACTCCCTGACCCAGGAAAACCCCGTATAGCCCAAAAGGAGAGAAAGGGGAGGAGACAAAAAAAACAAAGCAAAAAAAAATTAGGTTACCAAACTTTTATAAGATAAGAAGCATTGTTTACTTCATGTTTTAGTACACTATGTATCAGTGTAAACATATGAATTATAATAATTAAATATTTAAAAATCTGTACAAGGGCAGTAAATATTACCTATATTATATCGCTCTTTAATAATACAAGGAGCGGATGCCAGAGCCGGAGAAGGGGGCTAAACCGGCCGGTCCTGAATGTGGGGCAACACTCGGGGGTCTACTTCCGGCCCTCTGGTGACACAATCTCTAGGAAGATGGGGTTAAAATTTCGATTAGGTTCATATTAATTGGTTTCCATCAATTTTTATGGCTTCCGAAAACCTGGTAAATTTCTAAAAATAAATCAATATTCTTCATTCATTTGAAATTTTATGTACAGACTCATATTCGTATCACAAAATATTCGTGTTCACAATCATCACCACACCATCTAAGAATATACGAACATACGAAACATTTTTTTTTTCGATTATCCTCTACCTCGACATATTCAGTATACGGAATGAGGGGAGGAGGATTGTTCTAAAGATACAACTAAACCTATTCTAACCAGAGAGATGAGGTCGAGATTCATTAACTGTTCCGCCATGAAATAAATTTTAATCCACCGAGGCCGGGTTCGAACAGGTAGTGACTAGACAGAGGTGCTACTAGATGTTAAAGCGAGTAACTCCCCAACATGCTCGGCCATCACGACATCACGAAGATATGCAATTCTTCCAAAGAACTTTGATTTTTTTCCACAACAGAGTTAGCTTAATTTTGCCACCTCTTCCTCCCTCCAACCTCACCCTTTCCAATAAGATTCAACTGTTTTATTGCAATATTTTAAGTAATATCACATGTTTTTTATGTGTTAAGATGTTAAACAAGTTTTTATCAGAAGTGTCGAACACAGATGCACTTTCGTGCATACTGATCAAGCGTAGAGGTGGAGGGAGAAGCGGATTTTGTTTGATTTTTCACCGACTTTTATGGTTTCATCTTAACTATTTCAACAATGAAGGATATCAGGTTTCTTGTAGGTTACACGGTTATCAAAGCCAACTGAACTAAGCTCAAGCACATACAAAACTTTTACTATATATTCTGCCTTCAGTTACCTCTTGGTTATTTTAATTTCTATCTAATTCAAAATACTAAATCAATATTTAAGAGTAAATGACCCAGTAGATCTATAAGTACCCGAGCCAGGCAATATTTGTATGTGGAAATACAAATAAATTTATATTCTATTCTATTATTCTTTCTTTAGCGTTGCCTCTTAGGTTTTTCGTGTTTCTCCCTTATTTTATTTTATTGTAATTGAATAAAGAATGTGATACTTGAATTAAAAATTGAGGATGTATCTGGTAAATATCAGCAATAAGATAGGAAAAAAAAGGTAATTACAAATGAAATAAAACAGGTAGCAATCTCTATCGAAGAAACAATTATTTTCACGTTACTGGAATAAGAGTCGTTAATATCAAGAATTTTTTATTTAACCATCATACCGCTATTTCGGAAGAAAATCAGCAAACTCAAAAATGGACACTTTTCCAACTTTTCTGAAATTATAATACAGACGATGACTGTTTGGAGGGAGGCCAGGTTGTGGTTCCGCTCCGGTCGGCACACACCCTCGGCCTACTGCATCCAGACACTTGCAACCTCCTGGTTTCCTCCAACCCCAGACAACACCCCCATCCTCCCTTGACGGAGGAGACACACAGATGGCGCTGGAACACGGCAAGGTCAATCAGTGAGTGGCCAGCCTTTTAAATTCTCGGCAGGAGCAGGAGGGGAAAAGTCCTGTTATCCTGTTACCGGCAGAACGTGTTCCTGGCGCTCCCACCAGTCTTCGGTACACCACCGGGTTGGTCGCTGGCGGTTCCTCTGCTCCGGCGTCAACGAGCTTTCGTCTTCTCAGGTAGGTTGTATCCAATACACATCTTAGCAAGTCGTAGAAGGTTGGATTTGTCACGAAAAAGTTAAGTGTAAAATATGAGGCTGGAAAAAATGGCAACAATGTTTATTAATATTTTTCTCTAAATCATGGTAATATGACTAATAGGGAAGATCGAAATGACACGAAATGGTTTGAACTGAAATGAAAAATTGAATATTTATTTTTTACAATATACATGATTTGCAAATAATTGTATTATTTAATTTAAAAGAGAAAAAAAAATACTGAAGGAAATCACACGTTTCGAATTAAAAGAGCCTCCTTTAATACTCTATTGCCATGAAAGATTAAAAAATGAAATTACAACTAGAACTGAGAGTCTGTAAAAGAAAAAGTAGGCCATTGAAATTTAAACGTAAGTAGGTAGTAGACAATTCAGTTTTGAAACGGTAGTTTTGAACATTTTGAAATTATAATTTAAATAATTGAAAACATGAGTGAAAATTATTTGAAAAGTTATTAAATTGTACAAAGGAATAGAACTAGTCTCCCCACCACGACGAGGATGTAGAAAGCAAAACAAATCCGCGTGACGTAAGTGGCAATTAGATGTTTTAGCAATGTCTGCTGCAGTTTAATTATAAAAATTTGCCAATTGCGTTTCATTTAATTTTTTCAATTTAACATAATTTACTTAGTTAATTCAGTTATTGAACATTATCTCCTCAATTAATTTTCAGATAAGTTATTTCATTAATTAATTTTCATATAAATTATTCCATTAACTAAATTATTGAATAATGCTAAACAATTATAAACCCGTAAATTAATGATAATATGAAAGTTAGAGTCATGATTGTAATCTGGGTCAAAAAAAATAATGGATCTTCATGAAAAAAAAAAATGATTCTTCAAATATTTAAAAATTTCTACCATTTCGAGAAAAAATTATTTCATAGGTAGATTATTAAATGTGAAATGAGGTGAATTAAGGAAAACCATTTTTTTCTTAATTATCTGTCTGATCCCAATCTACATAAATTTAAACGAATTAATTTCTAAAATTCCATGTTAAATTAAACATAAAACTAAATGTACCTACTCATCTTTCCATGCTATCATCAACTGCTACTTCCATGCTACTTCAAGTATGAACAAGTATAAATTCAATTAATTAATAATCAAATAATTTATTTCACATTTTTTGCTAAAATGTTTTTAATAATTAACTATTGTTTCGATAATTATTTAATTTTAAGTTCATGTTTTTTGTATTTATTATTTTACTGTTGATTAATATGTTTTCTATAACTATGGTGTGACTGAACTTTTTACTTACTACTAACTATTACTATTGTACATATGTTCATAAATACACGTATACAAGGTGTCCCGTAAGTAGAGGGAAATTTTTATAGCAACGATAGCAGAAGTCAAGAGCTACAAAAAAGTTTAAATAAAAAATGGGCCAATTTTCAGCAAAAAAGTAGCAAATCCAAGTTTTGTGTTTTTTTTAAGTGTCATGTTTTTTCTTGAATAAGAGGCGATAACTAAAGAAATATTCAATTTAAGTAATTAACATTTGATTCGCTGTAAACTAGACAAAACTTACTTCATATGGTAAATAGACTTTGTAATTATTAAAACAATTTAAACAGGACTTTTGAGCGGTTTAACTAAGGTGAGTTCTGCTTTTAAAAAAAAATGAGATTATTTTTTTTTTATTATTATCCAACTATACTACAGATTCCCCACTTTTAGGAATACTTTCTCGTTGAATAGTCTTTATTAATTAATTAATTTATTAGGCTAAAAAACTTAAGATTCATCTACATTATATATATATATATATATATATATATATATATATATATATATATATATATATATATATATATAATATTTAGAATTGAAAAATGGAAAAAGCATTAAAATCACACAAAAATTATTTGTAGTTGATTAAATATTAAATTTTGTGCAGCTATGATATAAAATTCAACAGCTCTAATCGTATAAATGATATGGAAAATAAAAACGATTTTAAACGAAAGCGGGTGTTACACCGCGCACATGGAGAATGGATATTTACCTCTAAGGTATTCCTTTTTTTTTTTCTTGTTTACTTGTTAGAAAGAAAAACATAGATCAGTAAATTTTTAACTTGTCGGATTCCCACTTCAATTTACTTTCAAATATAATCTTCAGTTGTGGAAAATACTTCTCTATTTTTTATCGAGATTACAACTGACAGAGAAAAATAATGTTTTTTTTTTAAGAATTATTTACTTACTAGTAGGCCCGTGCGAAAAATTCGCACAGCATATAGTTATCAAATGCCAAATTAATAAGAAAATAAAATAATGAAAGGTATCAAAAGATTAATACATCAAATGTTACTTTATCGATAAATATAATCCACAAAGAAAACAAAAATTAATTTAAATCTTCATTTTTGTTTGGAACCAACATGTTTACAAAATTCAGTAAGCTGTATCTCTGTTAAAAATTGTCCGATTTCGATGATTTTTTTTTTCCTTTTGTAGGGAATTTAGTAGTATTTTATATAATCATGGGCATTACCAAGGGAAAAGGGTGTAATTTTTCATTTATTCGCAAATAAAGTTTGTTTTGTTTCATAACTTGTTTGCCTGAATTTTCGGGGTGATTGGACTATTTTGCCGGCCTGAAGGAAGCCTTCGAAATTGGTGGCTCAATCTTAAGATTTGGTGAAAAATTAACGATGATATGGCTTACCGATCAAAAATACCATCGATAAATAATATAAACTCCTCCTCTCTCGATCAAAGAGACCTCGAAATGAGACATTTATTCAATGACAGTACTACAATTAATGTAAGGTTGTGTGGATGCGAACCCTATGCCTTGCGTTATCTCGAAAAAAAAATACGGATATATATACAGATCTACCACCGTTTCAGTATTGAAGCCTAGAAAAATGTTAGTATCGACTTTATTTATTTTAGAAAGAAAAACAAAAGTGGAGAATACGATTCGCTAACCCAATGTGAAATTCTGAATCCAACGGTACCCCATTCATGGTATTTGAGCATGACAGGGGCTTATGTTTGGTACAAAACCGATTTCGAGCCTTACTGTAATAATATATGTGGGGATTGTAAAATTATGCTCAGATTCGAATGTTTAAGAGAGAGTTTTAAAAATGTAAGGAGGTTAAGTTAGAACTAATGATAAAGACAAAACTGATTATTATTATTTTTTTTTGGAGTGGACCTAGAAACAATTTTTTATAGGAGTGCAGTCATCCTCAATAACGCCAATGATCGTAGGAAACCGAGTAAATTATAGGTACATTGTGGCCTATGAGTACTTCGATAGCTACAGATGGACTCATACGGTTCGTATGGTAATTGTCTTTGGAAGCAAAACTAATTTCCTCAACTCATTCCACCCTTAATGAAGGACCTGATGAGTTTCCGTTGGGCAACAATCGTAAGAGTATCTTTCCCACATATACTTTTCTCTCAAAGTAGTTTGTTTTCGTTTCTTTGTAACTCTTCTTGCATATAAAATCTACGAAAACGTTTTCATATTATTAGATGTAAGTAAATATATCACATTGGATTCCATAATATTACATTTAACATTTTTTTCTAGGTTTCCTATAACTGGGTAGCATATTTTATTAATCATAATAAAGAAATGACCTACAGTAATAATATAAATTAAAACAGTCCGAATTTCATTAATTTTTTTTTACTAAAACGCGTAGAATACCACTACTTTAAATAAGATATCCAATCAGAAATAAAACTTGGAATATTTGAAAAATACTTAATTGATAAAACCTGAATTAAATGATTCCAAATGTATTGATAACAAAAATATATTAAATGTTTTATGAAGAGAAGAATAGTTGGGGTGGTCAGTCAAAAAGGGAGGCAAAAATAAATGATAATATTTATTTTTGTCTTCCTTTTTGACTGACCACCCCAACTATTCTTCTCTTCATTATCCACGACAGTCAACCAATTACCAATTATTAAATGTTTTAGATTTATTTACGGAATTTTATATTTTAATTCATTTTTCGACATTTTAATATATTTGTCAATAATACGTAGAGTAAAAGTAAAAATAAAACTTTTCCCTAAAAAGTTTAAAAATAGTGTTTTTAATTGATCGAGTACTGATCACCAGGATGTTTTGGTCCTAGACATCGAAACAAACTAAACTTTTTAATTATTATACAAGGTCTTTCCTCTGTCTAATCAGTCCAAATAAAACTGGGTTTCAGCAAAAAATTAATATTTATGATTTTTTTGAATAATAATTTATAGATTCACGTTATAATGTTTCATTATTTTCAATATTAAACATATATTTCTAATTAATTAACAGGAATGATTTGAATGAAATCTGGCGGATCAATCTAATTCACTCTACACAAAAAAGTGCTGAACGCCCGTAAAGAAGTTTTCACTTAAAAAAAGTTAATAATAATTATCTTTATATCGATTGGTTTTCCAAGGATCCATTATAAGTTTCATTCACAAATATTCTAATATATTCATTTTAATAATTAGGAAGTCTATTATTTTGTAATAATCGACAAATAATACGTGATTTTTAAAATGAATATTTTAATATAGATATTTTGCATACCGATTGTATGCCTGAAGAAGAAATAGTGTATTTACTAAGATATTTTAAGTCAATTTTATAGCTGCAGACTTTGCCGAATTTTTTATGCTTCCTCATTACCGAAGAATTCATGCTAGAGATTAAAAAGATTTTTGTGCTCAGAATCGAAAATTGTTACTCGTCGGCTTGTCTGTTGTCAAATTGAAGTGACGGGCATATCACCTACTACCTTTCATCCGATTTTCATTAAATTTTCATTGATTATGCGGGTTAATGTATAGATGTCCCCATATCGATTTTATCAATTTCCATCCACCACTTTCGCTTGCTCAGGCGTAAATGGATTTTCATAGATATGCCAATATTTCCGAAACGGCTCATTTGATTTGGTTCAAAAT